AAACGGGTGTCTCTTCGGTGAAAGGTAGGTTGCTCAGGTTGACCTGGAACAGATGAGTCAAGCAGATGAAAGGGGGCATTTTACAGCCTTGAAATTGTATAAGAAGAACCTGTTCCCTCTTAATTTCCTGCAAGAAGAGAAGAGTTGGGGGTGGGGGGAGGGGGTTATGATGGCAAGGGACTACTAAGGGAACAGACCATGAGATACGGCTGTCATTTGGTGTTCTCGTCTTCAGAAGCAGCCCTGAGGCTGCTACAAAAAACAGGATACTGAACCAGTTGGACTCATGCTCTTAATTGCTCAAGGCAAAAAGCAGGGGTCTTGCTGCTGCTATGCCAAAGCACAATCAGGGTCGATGACGGTGATGGTGAACTTTTTCGGCATTGAATGCCCAAACCAGAATGTGTGTGCGTGCACCGGAGTGCCAGAAACCTGAAGAGTAGCTGGCTGGCATGCACATGCTTCTTTTTTATGTGTTTATGGCTGGTTTTGGGGCTGTTTTTCAGGGTGGTTTTGAGGCCATTTTCAGGCCATTTTTTGTTTTTTCCACCAGAGTGCCAAAAAATGCCCAGGAAATGGCCCCAAAAACGCCCTGTTTGGGGGCGTTTTTGGCTGTTTTCAGTCCGTTTTCCGGCGGCCGGCACACATGTGCATGCTGCAAATCAGAAGAGCAACTGCTGATGCCACGCGTGCCCATAGAGAGGGACAAACGTGCCACATCTGGCAGCCATACCATAGATTCGCCATCACAGATCTATGACAATTCGCCGTGGCCAACTCACCGTAGCTTACTCTGTGGTGCTTTGCAGAATAAGTTGACCTCCTCCTCTTTGTGACAACCTCTCAAATACTGGAAGGCTGCTATCATGTCCCCACTAGTCCTTCTTTTCCCTAGACTGGCCATACCCAATTCCTGCAACATTCATCGTATGATTTTGTCTCCCCCTCTCATCCTGATTCTTTCTCGCTCGCTCACTCGCTCTCAGTGAAAGAAGAACCCCACGACGAAGAGGAGACGCCATGTGCCCAGGCTCCGGCACCCACCAAAACCCCTCCTCCCTTCCCGCACGATGTCTCCCTGGCGGAGCTGCTGCCGCGATTGAGTCTCTCCAAGGAGGAAGAGCTGCTCTTCCTGCAGCTGCCAGACACGCTCCCGGGACAGCCGCCCACACAGGACACGAAGCCGCTGAAGACGGAGGTGCAGAACGAGGATGGGCAGATGATGGTGATAAAGCAGGAGAAAACCCAGGTACTCGTCCTGCTGAAACAAGTAGCAGGAATCTGCAGGTGCTACTGCAACCCATGTGGCGTTTTGTGGCTGCAAACGGAGGCCTGGAAGCCTGTTGGATGGAAGCCAGGAGGTTGGCATTTTGGTAGAGAAACCACGGTGGTCTAACCGTTGGTTACAAAGGCGTATTTTGAAATGGGATGGCAATGTTTGAACGTAGGCAGTTTTCCCACAGTTGGGTTTTTTTATCAGCTGAATTATCTTACAATTAGTGGAAATTAAGGAAGCTTCCCCCTATTACAAAAAGAATTTCCCTGTTTTGCTTCTATAGCAGGGGTGTCAAACTGAATCAGCACTGTAGTTCTCCTCCTTGAGCTGGCCAGGTGTGGGTGGGGGAGACTGGACGGATGCCTCCTGCAGCACCCTGACCGCCAAAAGGGGGCACAGGGGAAGGGGGGGCTGTGCATGGCCCTTGCTCACCAGGTTTCGGTTACAAAGGCATATTTTGAGATGGGATGGCAATACTTGAACCTAGATGTTTTCCCCCGTTAGGTTTTTATCAGCTTAATTATCTTATAATTAATGGAAGCTAAGGAAGCTCCCCCCCCCCCCCAATGAATTTTCCTTTTTTGCTTCTACAGCAGGGGGGATCAAGCTGGATTTATTTGAGGGCCAGATCAACATTGTAGTTCTCCTCCGTGGACCGGCCAGGTTGGGAGGGGGGGGGAGACAGGACAGATGCCTCCTGCAGCACCCTGATGGCCAAAGCGGGGCACAGGGTGTCCGTGTAAGGCCCCTGCATGTCAGGTTTTCAGCCAGGATGGCCTCCTGCAGCACTTTGCTAGCCAAAAAGGGGCACGCAAGGGTTTTTGGCTGCCCCCATTTTGTTTGCCAGAGGCACCGCAGGCAGTCATTTGCTATTTCCAGGCCAGCCCTGCAGGCCAGATTTAAGCACCCCGCAGGCCGGATCCGGCTCTCGGGTCTTGAGTTTGACACCCCTGTTCTATAGGCATCTTGGCATTCAACTTGTCCAGGCACAGAAAATAGGATTGTAATCCAGTATTTACTGTATATTCCGCCGTATAAGGCGACTGGGCGTATAAGACAACCCCCTACTTTCAGTCGCCTGCGAGCCAGCTGAAGGCCTCTGCGCTGCCGGGCTTTTGTAGTTTGAGCTCAGTGCCTTCCTCCTCCAGACCTCCAGCCAGACCTTACTAAGCCATCCCAGCACTCATCCATTCATGTGTCCAGGCGAGGAGCACCGAGGTTATCAATTGAAAGGTGGCATTACTTTTTCTTTTCTTTTGGTTTTTTGGTATGGCCTTTCTTATACCCGGCATACAAAACGACCCCCGATTTTTGAAATAATTTTTGGGGGTTAAAAAGTTGTCTTATATGCCAGAAAATACGGTAATTTTACACATAATTACAGTGGTGAGGATTGCCTTCGCTCAGAAATGGAAAAATAAATTGATACCAAGCGAAGATGAAATATTAAGAGAGGTTATAGACTATACCGAAATGGACAAATTAACAAAAGAAATCCAGGGAAAAGAAGAAACAGAATATTATCAGATATGGGAAAAATGATACAGATGGATGGAGGAAAGAAACAAGAAGCAATGAAAGAAGCCAATAAAGGCCAAAAATAGAAGTTAAGGAGAATTAACAGAGTTTAAATTTATTAGAGGTAATCAATATAGCAGATAGATGAGTAAAATAAGAGGGTTAAAAATGGTGAAATGCAAATGAAATATATTAGAAGGGGAAATAACAAGGAGAATTGTATCGATTTGAAATTGCTATTAGAAGGAACAGGAAGTTCCTGTTTGTACTGTGTTGTGTAAATGTAGTGTACGTCTAAGTTCTGTGTGTGTGTATTTTGTAAAGAATTTTTTTTAAAAAAAGAAAAGAAAATAGGATTGTAATTACGTTTTTAAGGGAGAGCGCAGAAGGAGTTTCCAAATCCTCTAACCTTGGTTTCTTCCCAGCTCCTCAACTTGTCCACTTCTGCTTTTTCAGGAGACCAAGGAAGCAGAGAATACCTGCACCCTGGGGGATCTCTCCGAAGGGCAGGTGGGGAAGTTGCTGATCCGCAAATCAGGAAAGGTGCAACTTGTCCTAGGCCAGGTGACTCTTGATGTAACTACTGGAACACCCTGCTCCTTTCTTCAGGTATGCCTTGCTCTGGTGGGAAGTGGCCTCCCTTCAAACGCCATTTCAAATTAATTTAGTTTAGTTTAGTTTATTGTCATTGCATTGTACAATGAAATTAAATGCCATCTTCAGTGTACATTATAACTATAAAAATAAACATCCTTTGCATGCTGTTATTGAAATTGAAAACCTGATATTGCATTAATATTGCACTACACAGTAGAATTCAATGTATTTACTGTCTTGGAACAGAAGCTGTTTTTCAGCCTTTTTGTTTTTACTGTCCTGTACCGGCTGCCAGATGGTAATAGTTCAAAAAAAGGGTGCCTAGGATGAGATGGATCTTTAAGAATGTTTTGAATTTTCTTAAGGCAGCGGGAACTGTAAAGCTCTTCCAAAGAGGGGAGAGGGCAACCCATGATCCTCTGGGCAATGACGTTGACCCTCTGGAGCACTGTCCTATCTGCCACTCTGCAATTGACAAAGCAGACACAGGTGCAGAAAGTTAAAATACTCTCTATGGTGCAGCGGTAGAAGTTTTTTCATTCAGTTGTTGTTTCCTGAGAAGTCTCAGGTAGTATAGTCTCTGCTGGGCCCTTTTGACCAGGGCTGCAATGTGAAATCCAAATATAAAGTGTTCAGTGGCTGTGTACAACAATTGCAAGAAACAGGCAGCTAGAAAAAGACTGGAGTGATATCCTCATCCCAAGTGCTGTTGATGTGATTTGGAAGTATTCATTTCCTAGGGTGTGGTCTAGACTTAGGGACTTAATAGCCATTAAGACTGATGGGAGATCCAAAGGTGTTTTTTCAGGAGGCAACTGGACTTTCTGGTTTTTCTTTGAAGACGTTTCACTTCTCATCCAAGAAGCTTCTTCATCTCTGACTGGGTGGTGGAGAATGGAAGGATTTATATTCCTTGCAGACAGCTGGTCATTTGCATCCTTTCAGAGGGTCATTGAAGCACTTGGAGCTTTATCGGTGTCCTCAGGGTCACCTGAGTTGTGCAAATGGTTCCTGTAGTCTGCAGTTTTTTGGAAATCCGTTTATATTCCCACACCAGTCAAAGGGTGTTCATCTCAAAGGGCATAGCTAAAGATCTATAGAGCTTCCCAGGTCACGGTTATCCCAAAGGATAATCTAACACCTTTGGGAGTACTATGAGCTGGATGACTGGGAATCTCTATAGACTTTTGATTGAGAGGATCTTAATGGATACACCCAATTTGGTCCCATGCTCTCACTTCCAAATGGCACCAGATAGCCCCGAGTTGCCTTCAGGTTTTCCAAAAAGCATCTCTTTAAGTCAGGGGTGTCCAAACTTGGCAACCTTTAAGACCTATGGACAGAGCATAACTGTTTGGATCAATTCTGGGAGTTGAAGTTCACAGGTCTTAAAATTGCCAAGGTTGGACATCTCTGGTGTAGGTAGACAGCTAAAAATTATAGAGGAACCGTATACATGCAAATATCCTTTAAAAAAAAAAAAAGCTATGCATTAGAGGGTGAATAGTGATGGCAGCTCCTTGCTCAAAGTCAGAACAATGCCAAAACTGGGTTTGGATCAGCAGGAAAAATTCCAGGAACATCCAGGAATCAAAATAGAATAGAATTAAGATAGAGAAATGATGGTCTAGAACAGTGATGGCGAATCTCTTCAGCACCAAGTGCCCAAACTGAAAAATGCATGCATGTGCCGGAACCCAAAGACCAGCTGGCCGATGTGCACATACCAGTTTTTTGGGGCGTTCTCTGGTGCTTCGGCACCCACCAAGAGCATCTGGCAATGGCATGCGTGCCCACAGAGAGGGCTTTGCATGCCACCTCTGGCACACGTGTCATAGCTTCTCCATCATGGGTTTAGGTTGACAAATAATCAAGTCTTACTGGCACGAGAAAGGAGTGAGGAGTTAAACAAGTATCCTTGTTTATTGTTATTATTTTAAAAAAATACTCTGATATTATCAGTCCCGCGCTTTCAAGATAGAACAGGTTTTAATTTTTTTTCCCATTTTGCTCTGGTCTAATTTAAACAACTGGGAATTGTTTAGATTTCTAAAGGGTTTTTGCAGGTGGGAAATCAGCTGATAGAGCACCTGGCTGAGTCCTCCTACTGAATAGCTTATGCTGATGCTCAAAATCTGCTGCTTCCTCAGAACTGCAAAGGTTCCTGGATTACCATATTTTTCGGAGTATAAGACGCACCCCCACCCCCAAAAAAGGGAGAAAATCTGGGTGCGTCTTATACACTGAATACAGCATTTTTGGCCTCCCAACCCCCCTCCCCTTCACCAAAATGGACATGCAGAGGAGCCTGGAAAGTATTCCCGGGGGCTGGGGAGGTCAAAAACGAACATAAAATAGGCCATTTTTTTGCTCATTTTTGCCCCCAGCCCAGCCCCCAGGAGCACTCTACAAGCCTCCTAAAAACTTTGCATGCCCTGTTTTTTGCAAAAAAAATGAGGTGTGCAGAGGGTTTGGGAGGGCTGCAGAGTGCAAAAACTTTAAAAATTTTACTTCTTCAAAATCTTGGTGCGTCTTTGTATAATACACTAGGTCTTAACACTTACTTTACTTTTTTACTTTGGAGAAGCTTTGGAGTAATTGTTCTTTTTTTTTTTGGTCTGGCAAAGGAGCTGGTGTCGGTCAGCATCGGAGACAATCGGAGCGGCGAAATAATCGTCCTAGGCCACGTCAAGCACAAGCTGGTTTGCTCTCCAGATTTTGAATCCTTGCTGGCCTACAAGCATCGATAGGGCTGCTGCAAAACTCCTGGCCAGGGTTAGCTGCGTGTCCTGCCTAAAACAGCAATGATTTGGTCTCTCTCCCTGTCCCTGAGTTTGAGTGCCTGTCCCTGAGTTTGAGGAAGATAGGAGCGTCTTCCAGGAAGAACTCTGCCTGAAGAGATTGGCAACAGTCATGGGAACGAGACTATTGACGAACATCTGGTTGTCAGAGATGATCTGGAGCTCTGGAATCTTCCTCTGGAGGAAGGGGAAAGGATCCGATGCCAAGGACTTGCTGCGTCCTTCCTCCCAGTTCCATACATGATATGGCTTGCCTTACCCTTGTAATGACTTTTTAATAACTTAATTGCACACACTACCTGGTGATACGATCCCAAAGGGGAGAATAGGAAAGACGTGAGCCTTGGAGCCAAGCTTACCTGTTTAGCAGCTGTTTTCCTGCAGATGCTAGAAAAGATGTCGCCGTTCCAAACATCCGTAGGAGATCATACAAGGACGCCTTTTCTCTTTCGCCTTCTGGAGCTTTACCACCACACAGGGCAGTAGGAGAAAAGGGTGCAGCGGGAGAGGTTTGGGAAGACACATTAGACTGTGTCTTCTGTAGTGAGATATCCTGTACATCTCTTGTGGTTCAGACCAGCTCATCAGGCACCTGANAATGGACTCCAGAGGATGGTAGAGGACAGGAAGGCCTGGAGGAATGTTGTCCATGGGGTCACAATGGATCAGACATGACTTCGCAACTAACAACAACCATGTGATACATAAGAACCACAGAGTGGGATCTTACCAATCTCATCAATGAAAATTATGCAGGGTTGGATTTTGATTGCCAGAGAAAAAACGGCAGCTGTGAGTTTCTGTGACTCTCCGTACCATTTGTCCATCAAGGTGGGCGCTTGAAGATTGATGAACCTGCAGTTGGAGGCCTGGGCCATTGCTTTGGCAAGGAGAGTCTTGCCACATCCTGGAGGTCCATACAGTAAGACACCTACATAAAAGGGAAAGTCATAGATGGGCCCATAGTTTTCCTACCATCCACCTCCTAATGAATTCAAGGTAGGAGCCTTTATATTGATTCAGGAAAAGAATGTGACTCTGCCTTTAGATTTTCCTGGTCAGATGAACAATTGTTACCATATTTTTTGGAGTATAAGACGTACCTTTTTCCCACAAAAAAGAGGCTGAAAATCTGGGTGCGTCATATACACTGAATACAGTATTTTTTGCTTCCAAAAACTCTGCCCCCTTCACCAAAATGGCTGTGCATAGCCTTTAGGAAGCTTTTAGAGAGCTCCTGGGGGCTGGGGAGGGCAGAAATGAGCAAAAAAATGGCCCGCTTTTTGCTCAATTTTACCCCCTCCCCAGCCCCCAGGAGCACTCTATAAGCTTCCTAAAGGCTATCCATGCCCTTTTTTGTTAAACTAAAAATGGGCCAGGTTTTTTTTCCCGTTTTTCACACCCCTACCCCACCCCCACCCCCAGGAGCACTGTGCAAGCTCCCTAAGGGCTATTCATTCCTTTTGTGGGGGGAAGCAGACCCGTTTTTGCAAAAAAGGGCCATTTTTGGGAGGTTTGCAGAGTGCAAAAACTTTTTTTTAATTTTCCTCTTCAAAACCTTGCTGCACCTTATACTCGGGTGTGTCTTATACTCCAAAAATACGGTAACTAATTTAGCAAAGGTTCATCTCCGGTAACATTGTACTGCAAATTAGGGCATACAAAACCTTTGCTAGACCAATTCTCGAATACAGCTTGTCTGCATGAAATCCACACTGTACATCGGACATTAATACAATTGAGCAAGTCCAGAGATATTTCACGAGAAGAATCCTCCACTCTTCTGCTCACAAGGTTTCGAAATGTTGGCCTTGGACAACCTAGCACTACGCTGATTAAGGTGTGACCTAAGTGTAGTACACAAAATTGTCTGCTACACTTCCAGCTGAAGCAGTCGTGGTTTGGCCGTAGGCACTGCCATCTTGTTTTTAAGTTCTGCGCATGTGCAGAATAATTTTAATTGCAATGCACATGCATGCGTAGCACGCATACACGCAAGCAAACCAGCAGTAGTGCCTCCCGGAACCCACTGCTGGGTCGCATGTATGCATGGGGAGATGGAGGGAGCATGGGGGGGGGGTCATGCACACATGTGCAGGGGAGTGGAGTGCATAGCATTATGGGAGTGGCCATGCATGAGCACTATTGTGCATACATGCGCAATTTCGTCATGCGAGAAGAAAAAGGTTAGCCATCACTGCACTAGAAGATCTCCAAGGTCCCTTCCAACTATTATTCTGTTCTGTCACTCAGTATTTGAAATAATCAGATGGATTAACACTTTACATTTAATGTCTTGGGACCAATCGGTCCATATACAAAATGAAATATGGAAGTACTTCCCTACTGCTAGTTGTCAACTTACAGCCATTCGTTTAATCAAAGTTCAAAATTACAACAGCACCACAAACAGTGACTTATGACCAATTCTCCTACTTATGACCACTGCAGCATTCCCCATAGTCCCATGATCAAACATCAGGTGCTGTCAATCAGCGTGTACTTATGATGGTTACAGCCTCCTGATGTTGGATCAAATTGTGATTTGCAACCTTTCTAGGAGCTTCTGATGAACAAAACCAATGGGGGAAGCCAGATTCGCTCAACGACCACACGATTCACAACTATGGCAAAAGGTCATAAAATGGGGCTAAATTAAGAACTTCCTTGCTTAGCGACTGAAATGTTGGGCTGAATTTGGTTCTACATCAAGGACTATGTGTATGTGGGGCCTTCCTTTTTTAATATCGTTTTTATTCAGCATTTTTAAACATTAGAATCACAATTGTGCAATCACAATTACACTTTTACAGCTTCCCACTATCGGTATTCTTTTTTCTAATTCCTACTTTTCCATTCTACGGCCTATTGTTTCATACATATACCTCCTTGTTTCGTGATTATTATTTTTAAAATATATACAACCTATAGCCATTTACATCTTTATTGATTTCTGAATATATATCATCTCCTTTTGTTACATTTTCTATACACTCATTATGCATTAATTTTACATCTTACATCTCTTTTCGACCCAATTATACCACCTATTCCATTTCTTGTAATACTCTCTCCTCTCTGTCCCTTAATTTCATCGTTAGTTTATCAATTTCTGTGCATTCTAGCAACCTTTTTTGTTATGATCTCTGCATTTGAGAGGATGTTTTTTTTTTGTTTCCAGTTTTGGGCAAATGAGATTCTGGCTGCAGTAACTATATGAAGCATAATATATTGAATTTCTTTGCTTCCTTTTATTATTCCCCAAAGAAACAGCTCAGGCTTCATGTCAATTTTTCGTTCCGTTACTTCCTCCAACTATTTTTGAATTTTGGGGGCCTTCCTAAAAGCTTCTGTATATTTGGCTGTCGACATCAATAGAGTACACAACAAAATAAAAATTACATTGACGTGGGATAAACTGAGACAAGCTGGAGGGCAAGGCCTGAAATGACTTATTTGGATCCCTAAGGGACTCTACAATGAAGACATGCCAAGGGTACCTTTTGGGGGCTGGCAGAGTTTGGAGTACTCGAACAAGCGTGTCTGTTGCAAAGGTAAGATTACGGTGTCCCGAAGTTCACTGACCAGCTCATCTAAGCCTGCAACATCATTCCAACTGACCTGAAAATAGGACAAGTTTATGGAGGACTGAAACGAGAAAGAGGTTCTGAACCATTTAGTAAGAACAGCTTCATCCCTGAAATGGTGTAGGGCAGTGATGGCTAGCCTTTTTGCCATTGCATGCCAAAAGTGGGGGGATCGCTGGGGGAGCGTGGGGGGATCGTGTGCACACATCCATAATTCTATGCATCCTCCCCCCATTCATGCACGTGCGACCCCACCTGTCTCCCTACGCCCTTGGCGTGTGATGGCACGGTCAACCTGTTTTTCACCTTCCCCAGGCTCCAGAGGCTTTCTAGGAGCCTGGGGAGGGCAAAAACGCCCCCCAGAAGCCCTCCGGAGGCAGGAAACGGCCCGTTTTTTGACTTCCGGGTTGCCATTTTGGGGCCATTTTTCGCTCTTCGGAGACTTCAGGAGGCTTCCTTGAAGCCTCCAGAGGGAGAAAAATGGCCGAAAATCAAGGCCAAAATCAGCTGGCCAGTGCACGCCTGCGCACTACAGCTGACAGGGCAATGCCTTGTGTGCCCTCAGAAATGGTTTCACCTGCCACCTGTGGCACACGTGCCATAAGTTCGCTATCACGGGTGTAGGATGTCCTGCATAGGCGGGGTGTGGTGGACTAGATCAAGGGTATCAAACTGGATTTCTTCCAAGGCTGGATCAGCATTCTCTTCCGCAGGCTGGCCAGGGAGGGGAGAGACAGGATGGATGCCTCCTGCTGCACCCTACCAGCCAAAACACAGTGTGGGGGACTGTGTGCGAGTCTGTTTTTGTCCAGCAGAGTGCTGCAGTTGAAGACTGAAAACAACGTGCAGAGAGGCTGTGTGAGCCCCCCTCCCACACCCCGTATTGCAGGGGTGGGTTTCTCGCCCNTTTGGCCACCTAACAAGAAGGAAGGACTCACTGGAGAAGAGCCTAATGCTGGGAACGATTGAGGGCAAAAGAAGAAGGGGATGATAGAGAATGAGGTGGCTGGATGGAGTCTGAAGCAGTGGGCGTGAGGTGAAATGGACTCGGGGGGATGTTAGAGTACAGGAAGGCCTGGAGGAACGTTGTCCATGGGGTCACGATGGGTCGGACACGACTTCGCAACGAACAACAAGTGATACTCTTGGCTCTCTTGATTTGTATGACTTTCTTGACAGGGATGTTGGTCAATTTTGCAGCACCCCAATAATTCCCATAATTCTCAGGCAGCATCACCAGATGTTGGAAGTTTCTCTCCCATGCACTTTTGGAGCGCCCTTCAGATGGTGAAAATCTACCCAGCATGCATAGTGTTCATTTTTTTCCTTGTTGAACCATCCCACTACTTGCTTTCTTAAGAATGTCTTCATTGCTACCCATTCTGTTTAGCTTTAGTTACAGTAGAGCAGGAGTGTCTAACTTTGGCAACTCTTAAGGCCTGTGGACTTCAACTCCCAGAATTCATGGCTGGCTGGCTTGGGAATTCTGGAAGTTGAAGTCCACGAGTCTTAAAAGTGTCCAAAGCTGGACATCCCTGCAGTAGAGCAATTTCAATGAGGTTAATCTTTGTTCTCCAAGTGAGGAATCCCGTTCACTCAGTCCAAAGGTGGCTCCGTCAGCCTTGCCGAAGAGGCTCCTCTGGACTCCTTCATCTTTTCCAGGGCGAGCAGCAAGTCAAGCTGAGTAAGTGGCCTCAAGGGGTTTTCTTCCAAGTCCCTGGGCATGAAAAAAAGGAAAGGAAAGGTTTTCTTGTTAGTTCTTCCCCTCTAGAACGCCTTGCTCTTAGCATCCACTGCAATGCCTGAACTTTAACTCATAACTGCTGAAATGTTTTTACTGCTTACCAAGTTTGTCCTGAGTTGGGATGATAAAAACACCAGGCAGTTGCATGAAATTAAGTTTATTTATTCTTCCCCCCAAGAATGACAAGAGTAAGTTGTTAGGTGGATAGATGCAAAGACTTATTCCATCCAGCAATACTACCCCAGTCACCCAATAGCACTAACATTAGCACTTAGACAAGAAAAGAGAGATGGCTTACGTCTCCTCCACACTCCCTCTGCAGTGCAGCAGGTGGGCGATCTGCCTCATTTGTTGTTTTCGGACATAATCACGCACGCGATACGTGGCTGCGTCCCGGCACAATTCCCAGAGGTCGCTGCCCGAGTAACCACATGTCTTCTCTGCCAGCTCCTTCAGGCTCACAGCATTGCTCATCTGAGAAAAAATCCCCAGTTAATGAAAACATGGGTTTTGTTCTGATCAAATCTTCACCAGACTCGTCCCGAAAAAAACCCTTTTTATTTGGCTAATATGAATTCCAAGCATTCACATCCAGCGAAGTCCCAGCAAACAGTCTTTCAAGGGCAAATTTACAACCACCGACCTCATCAGGCTTGGAGAGCTGCCAGACCGATATCTTCCAAATGCTGAACAAGAAAATACTTGGCAAGGACTCTCTGAGAGTCACAAACAAATCTTCACACTAAGTGAAGATATATAGGCAACCTACTTCTTCCCATTACTACCTTATCATCCAAACAGTAGGACGTATAAAAGAACATCTAATGCAGTAGTTCCCAACTTGGGGACCAGGCCCCACAGGGGGGCAATTCGAAAATGAGCTATTAACTGAATTTTTGAAAGAACCAGGGCCCAAGTTTAACTAAGAAATAGTTAGATTTACAGTTATTTTTAGTCTGTGTTTTCCCAGGCTGTGTTTTGCCAGACTTTTCCTCTCAGAGCAATCTGGAGCTGGACCAGACATGCATAGGCCTTGCCAGGCCTGTGTGATTCACCTCCACCTACTGAACTACCAAAGCATTTCCCCACTAAGGTTCGAACCGAGTGGACGAGTAGTGGGGGTGGGTTGGGGGGAGTGTCATAGAATCTACTCTCTTTTGTTCTTTTATTTTTCTCTTTCATTGATGTTCTTTGGAACCTTGTTTAAACCAAGTTACTGGCCTTTTAAGCTTCCTCCATGGGAGTAGGAGTTCACTCTTTGAATAGTAAGAATGATATCTCACTGGGGGCGGGGGAGCACCAGGGTTTTAGAGATGCTTAGGTGGGGAATGGTCCAAAAATGGTTGGGAACCACTGATTGAATGGGTCTCGCCATAGATCCTAATCGAGAACTTTGAATGAGTTTTTAGAATTAAATCCAGGGCAGCCACATACAGCCTGGGGACTACTTTAAGCATCCATTGTGTTTCGAAGGTTTCGGGTTTTAGTGCCGAAAATATGAATAAACTTAACGTGCTGCTCTAGATTGAAACCTATCAGTAACATCAGGGACTTGTAGAAGGAGTTTTTTCACAGCTCTTTCCTTTTTTGTTACAATTTTTCAAGGTAATATCTTTAATCTTCCCACACTGAAGTTGTCAAGTGGAATGCTGACCAACCTTTTGTGGAATGTACCATATTTTTCGGAGTATAAGATGCACCTTTTTCCCTCAAAAAAGAGGCTGAAAATCTGGGTGCATCTTATATGCTGAGTACAGCAATTTGTTTGCCTCCAAAAACCCCGACCCCTTCACCAAAATGGCCATGCATAGCCTTTAGGAGGCTTTCAGAGTGCTCCTGGGGGCTGGGGAGGGCAGAAATGAGCAAAAAACAGGCCGTTTTTTGCTCAATTGTCCCCCCCCCTGGAGCACTCTATAAGTCTCCTAAGGGCTATGGGGGGGAGGGCCCATTTTCACAAAAAATGGGCCATTTTTGGGAGGTCTGCAGAGTGCAAAACCCTTTTTTNTCTCTGGAAACAAATACTGTGGATGTAAGACACCCCTAACATCCCCCGTTGTGTGTGTATTCTGTTAAGATACAGCCTGTTGTGTCTTAAAATGGCTTATACCGTACTGCCATAAAATGGCTTCTACTGTACAGCGCAGTGCAGTTGCCATGGTAACGGCTTCACCGTACTCCACAAGGGGACTCGCTCTGGTAAGGGGGAAAATCCAACATTAGAAATTACATTGGTCCGGGATTATTTTTGAGGACAAATGTATGTATTAGGATAAATACCCGGGCAATGCCGGGTTATCAGCTAGTATTCCTTATAAAGAGAATAACATAAACAGTAAGTTAATCATGTGCAAATATTGATTGAAAATGACAGAATGTAACGCTCATAGCAAAAGCAGCTTTTGGACAACGGAGCCACAGATACTTTGTGATAATTGGGGGAGGGGGGGGGAGAGATAACTAGTGGATCCAGAGAAAAAAAACTGCAGATAAGGAGTAGGAACTCTGAGACTCAAAAGGTGCCTGTCCCTTCTAGCTGCTTATTTAAAAGTAATAATCTTACATGGATGTTTTTCTTCTCTGCCTTTCAGAATGAGAATTTTCTTTTATCAGCAGATGCTTCATTTAGTTTGATTACAGAAGGCAATATTAACACAATAGGTCACCATGGTTCCTGGAACAGAAAAGGCATTGGAATCTAACAAAGCTGGAGCAAACGAGACTGAGGAAGGCTGCTTCAATGGAAACCACACTTCACAATTAATTCAGCAATTATCGCTAAGAGAGAAACCAATGTCCTTTATAGGGCTCCTCATCAGGGGTGGGTTTCAGCCGGTTCGCACCAGTTCAGGTAAACCAGATGCTAATTTTGTATCTGCAAGGACCAGCTAGCCCTGCCTCTCCCAGGAGTCTCCATGCGGCCCGTTAATCATGCCAGGTAAGTACAGGGCCTGTGTGGAAGGTCTGGGAGGGCGAAAAACGGGCCTACCGGAAGTCTGGAAGTGGACCCGTTTCTGGTTTCTGGAGGGTCTTTGGAGTCCGAGTGAGGCTGTTTTCACCATCCTGAATGGTCAACAAAACCCTGGAGAGGGCAAAAACGGGCCTACTGGAAGTCTGGAAATGGGCCCATTTCAGGCCTCTGGCGCCCAGGGAAGGCGCCTTTGATTACAGAAGGCAATATTAACACAATAGATCACCATGGTTCCTGGAACAGAAAAGGCATTAAAATCTAACAAAGCTGGAGCAAACGAGACTGAGGAAGGCTGCTTCAATGGAAACCTGTTTTTGCCCTCCTGGAGGCTCACAGAACACCTCCGGAGTCTGGGGAAGATGAAAACAACGCAACCCCCCCCCTGTTGTGAGGAGGCCGAGTACGTCACCCACATCCCCGACCATGCCCACCCTCCCCTGCCAGGAATTAGGCAGAGAAGCGGTTGCTAAAAATTTTCAATCCTACCCCTGGTTCCTCTACACTTCTGCTGATATTTTCATTAATATTTGGCAGTGAGAACTTTGTCCAAGTTTCCTTGAGTGAAGAGCCCTTAAGGGTCAGTGTCCAGCAATTGCTCTTTATTATAAGCCAAGGAGAAACGGTCCAATAAAGAGCCTTCTTGCCAGCAGAGTTGTAGAATTAAGCCGTTTCCCCTTAACAAAGTCCCATTTATTTATTGCATTTTAAATTGCCCATCAGCAATAAGCCTTAGCCGATTTCCAGAGTAGAAGTAAAAAAATTACAAAGCAAGGTAAAGGTTTCCCTTGCACATATGTGCTAGTCGTTCCCGACTCTAGAGGGCGGTGGTCATCTCCTTTTCAAAGCCTAAGAGCCAGCGCTGTCTGAAGACGTCTCTGTGGTCACGTGGCCGGCATGACTAAATGCTGAATGCACACGGAACACTGTTCCTTTCCCACCAAAGGTGGCTCCTATTTTTCTACTTGCATTTTTATGTGCTTTCAAACTGCTAGGTTGGCAGGAGCTGAGACAAATAATGGGGGCTCACTCTGTTAGGGATTCAAACAAAGCAAGATAGAAATAAACAAATTGCAAAGTGAGATTATAGGCTGGAAAATAACTGTATTTGGGGGGAATCTCTTTATAAATGTTTTCAGAAAGCCTACATCTGAAATAGAAATGGAAGCAGTCAGGAATGGATGTGAAACGTGTTAGTGTACTGTATATGGGTAGGACTAGAAGATCTGTTGAGTAAATCCAGGGTGGCGTCTAGGAAACAGGATTGCTGAGGATGACAGATGAGCAGATTCAAGACATTCTTGGAAAGACTCAACCGTGAACCAGTCATTAGTAGGACCTATCAGGGATTTGCTACTGCCTCCAGGAGCTGTAGGTGGACGTTTCTTCTGCTCATTCGAAGGTGAAGTTTAAGGTCATCGGGTCTGAAACATCAGTCCCACTGGACTTGGAGGTTCCTAGAAGTTACCAGAATCGACCTCTCCTGCCCGCTCGTCAACGGGATGGAAAAAGAAACGTCATCCTTCGCAAGCTGGACTGGCAAAAGAGGAGCCTGTAGCTGACCATAATGGTAGAAGCTTGTTGTGTGTTTATTGGCGTAAATGCTCTTCGATGTGCTTGGCTGTCTGGAAGGCTTTCAGATTGAGTGTCCCACCCTGAATCCCATGCATACCGATGAGGATTAGGCAAATTGGATTGACCAGGACCACAGCAATGGCATGGGTGCAGTTGTCCTTCTTGTCCTTGTTGTAGACCTTGGTTCGGAGGTCCATTGTATGCTGCTGGGCATCGGTATACAGATTGTCTCGTATGACCAGGCATTTGTGGCCGCCCAGAGTCAAACCCTGCGTGAGGAGTACGTTTCTGTTCCTACCAAGGAGAGCTTGGATTTCCGGTTTGGTTATTTTGGCCAAGATGCCACCTTGGTGGGCACGTAAGACCTGGTGTTGTGATACAGAGATAACTGCGGCATCACAGCATAGCCCATCTCTCATAAAACTGTTGATACATCCTTGCCAAGTCATTTGGTGGTTTGGGGAGTGTTGCATTTAAAGGGACCTTTGAAAAAACCCAGGTCTCCCTATTAGAATAGGCCAATTTGGCTCTTCTGAAACCTTAAGGTTGGTTGGTTGATTGGTTTGTTGGTTGGTTGATTTGTTGGTTGGTTGAAAATCTTCTCTTTGTCACTCAGTATACCTGGCCTTAAGAAGATGATATATTTGAAGCTAAAACAAGATGATGGCTGCTTGCTGAGTCTACTTCCATTCACTGTTGATGGACCTATCTCAAAAATAACTTTTAGTCAAGTTTTAGGACACAAAACCCTTCAGAAGTTACTTGATCTTTTCCCAGTGTTGCCTTGGATACAACTCTTTAGCATTCTTTCACAGGCTCCAAGCTGTTCATTCTAGAACTCTTCGACAGCACTACATACGTTTCCTGTGATATCATAATGCATCTTTTCCCGGGGGAATCAAAACAGCTCAATTTGTTTTGTGTGGATGGGTGCATATCTCATCATACTTTTAACTAACAATTATGGTCTTTGTTTGCATCTGCATCTGATAGTATACGAGTTACAAAATTCTCCTTTTGAATCAGAAGTCTTAGGATCAAGACTGGGTCCCTCAAAGTACAATACATGGAATCGTGATTACTGCAGTTCCCCCATCAAGGCTATGAGGCATTTGCAGCCTTTTTAGAGTTGTTGAGGCCACCTGGAGGTTTATCTGTGTCCTCAGGGACACCTGAGTGGTGCTTCTGGTTCCTGTAGTAATTTTTCCCCTGGAACTCCATTCCTCCTACTACAACATTCAAATGGTATTCATCCCAAATTATACAGCTAAAAGTCTAGAGATTTTTAGTTCTCCAGATCATGGTTGTCCCAAAGGTGCTTTTTCAGGAAGCTACTGGACTTACTTGTTTTTTCTTTGAAGATGTTTCACTTCTCATCCAAGAAGCTTCTTCAAAGAAAAAAACCAAGAAAATCCAGTTGCCTCCTGAAAAAGCACGTTTGAGACAACCATGACCTGGAGGACTGAGTATCTCTACAGACTTCCGTGATGGTGCATTTAGCTCCTGCTTCCTGTTTCGGTGACTCAAGTAAGACTCTTGTAGGTTTAACAGGATTTGGGCTTAAGCTCCCAGAGGGACTGAGTCTTCTCATCTTGGAAGCCCTAATGTAAGAGTTGCAAGCACATTGGCACAACACTATATTCTGCAGAAATCTGGTATTTGGCAGACTGAATTGCAGGCAAATATAGGCAACAGGTGCTGTAAGGAATTATTTCCCCAATCGTTGAGGCCACACTCCACTTACAACATCAGAAGGCCTCTCACCATAAGGTAAAGGTTCCCCTTGCACATATGTGCTAGTCGTTCCTGACTCTAGGGGGCGGTGCTCATCTCCGTTTCAAAGTTGAAGAGCCAGTGCTGTCCGAAGACGTCTCCGTGGTCATGTGCCGGCATAACTAAACACCAAAGGTGCACGGAAGGAACACTGTTACCTTCCTACCAAAGGTGGTTCCTATTTTTCTACTTGCATTTTTACATGGTTTCGAACTGCAAGGTTGATAGAAGCTGGGACAAGTAACGGGAGCTCACTCCGTTACACGGCGCTAGGGATTTGAACTGCCGAACTGCCAACCTTTCTGATTGACAAGC